CTCTCTCTCTCTCTCTCTCTCTCTCTCTCTCTCTCTCTCTCTCTCTCTCTCTCTCTCTCTCTCTCTCTCTCTCTCTCTCTCTCTCTCTACCACCCTCCTCGGCGCTGGACTCCTCCAGCGCTGTGCCTCATTGCCAATGAGCAGCGTAGCTGCAGTCTCGAAATAGCGCAGCGGGAGTCTCCAGAATAGCGCAGCAGTGAAGTTCCTGAACCAGCATAACGCTGGATTTCTCCTGGTACCTTCTGTCCACGAACTGGGCAACGGCCCAGCTTAAGTAGCGCTGGGCCAGGACTGAAAACCCACGGCCTGCGTTTCTTTTTTTTTTTTCTTTTTTTTTTTTTTTAAGCACATGTGCTCCATCTATTGGTGGGGAGCAGCACCTGCTGGAAACCGGGTCCAGCGTCCCATAGATACAACCATATCCTCTCAAATTGGCACGAGCTGGGAACCGGGCCCAGCGTCCCTTGAGTACGTTCAGAATGGACCGTGCAGATCGAAACTCCGATCCACGGTCCAGATCGGAGGCTTTGAAACTGGTTCAGTCCTTGGCCTAAAACGGCCTGCCTGGGTCCCTACTGGACGTCCAGGCCCTGTCCAGGATTCAGTTTCCTGGTACCTGGCTTCGAACCGGTCCTGTGCGGACGTACCCGGCCTCAACGTCGGCCTGGGTCCGAACAGGTAGAAATCTGTTCGAAAACAAAGAAAAGGTCCAAACGTTTTTAGGAGCTCAGCCTCTGGGCCTGAATCTGGCCCTGGTCCTAAAACGTGTACCTGGCCACAAAACGGACAACAGTACAACCGTTAGAAAAACAGCAGCAAATAAATAAGTAAAAGAATATAAAAATAATCTAAAGCTGGCGTTTTTCTGATGCAGGCCCAAGTAAAAATGCCATAGGGCCTTCAGGTTGCGGTGACGCGACCTGGGGGCCCTATTCCAACCTCGAGTCCCGTGAGGGGCCTGCGTGTAGGCTTTCAGCATGTAACATCCACCAAATAAGAGCACAGCAAAAGCTCACAAGTGACGATGCTGGAATAGTCTCATCATCATCAACAATGAACCAATGTCGACATCCTATATGGCGCTCTGCGCCCAGACTACAAATGGCAGATCCTATCTAGCCTATCTACAATGCCGCTGGTGATGTCAACAGCTCCCCTCAATACGAGCAGATCTCGGCCAATGCCGTTCGCCTCAAGCACCAGGTATGTCTCTTGTATCACTCACAACCTGTATCCCCTACTCACAGATGCCACATGCACCCAAGGACCACCATGCGCCCCATCGAGCATAGTGCAGTGCAGCTCGGCTATGGCTGCCTGCTCATCCAGCTTGCCCGTGAGCGCGTGAGCGCTGGTCAGCGTTTAGCGCAGCAGCGCTTGCGCAGCATGCAGCCAGTGCCCGAATGCCAAATGTGAGGGCAGGCACTTTCCTAAATGGAAGTGGCCTGCCTGCTGCGTGTGGCCTGGCTGCGCTGGGCCCCTGTCCAGAAGCTTCCTGTAGGGCCCGAGAGGCTGAGCCCTGGTCCAAACAAATCAGGCCCAGGGCCTGTGGCGGTTGCCTGTGCCCAACTGCCCGCAGCCTGTGTTCGGCCCTTGTCTGTGTCTGGCCCAGGGCCTGCCTCAGTTACGTACGAAAAAGGCAGCCTGGGCCTGGGCGCTCTCAACCAACTGGCGCTGCGCAGCTGCCTGAATTTCCCCAGTTGCGTCGTAGCCGAAAAATCGGCCTCATGGCCTCGGTCGGGCCTGCCTTCACTTAGGGCGGCCGACTGTGCTGCTTACAGGGGAAAAAGGCGGCTCATTGGGGCCTTATGCCTCACATAAATAAGATTTTAAGTCTAATTCCAAAAAACAAAACGGGGTTGTAGAACTTGTAGGGCAGCAACTAGGGCTTGGAAAACCTTACAAGCTCATAATTTTTTGTTTTATTGTTTTCTAATTTTGTTTTTCGGGAGAAATTTACGACAGTCCACGGTGGGAACCCGACTGCCGGGCCCAAACACCTATGTGATGGTCTGAACGCTGTGAATGGGCGTGCGCGTTCGACCGTCTAAACGGGAGGGGGCCGCGTTCAAACGCACTATGCGCCACATGGCGCAAACTTTTTGAACGGAACCCCGCCATCGTTACGTGCGCGTGGGGGACTGCAGGTCCGGGGCTTGGTTCTTCGAAATAACACATATATATTTCCATGTTCTAGTGAAAGATTCATTCAATTTTGCTCATCCTATCCATAGAGTACCGTGAGGCCAGCCGTGGGGTTGGAGACTTACCTGTTGGCCAGTGTGTTGCTGTTCCTCCTCTCTCTCTCTCTCTCTCTCTCTCTCTCTCACACACACACACACACACACACACACACACACACACGCACACAAGCACACACAC